TCTCCTTCCTCAGGAACAAAACATCATGTTTTTTCTACCAGTCACATGTTTGTTTTTTTTTTTTGTGTTATTTTCTACCACTGTTATTAAATAATTTTAATATTTGATTTCTTGAACTCATAGTTCCAGGTCTTCCATTTTGTTGTTTTGTCCCAGCTCCTTTAGTAGTACACAAACATTTGCAGTTTTTCACTAACCACAATGAGTGCTGTACATGGATAAGGAACAAGAAGACGACCTTTCTGAATGTGAAAAATCTGAATCTCCTGAAAAAAAGAAAAAAAAAAAAGGAACACAAACCCAGACCAAAATTCCTGCAGAAGAAAATAGAAATAACCAGGGAATCTTGAAAGAACATGAAAGATAAAAATACAATAGAGATTGATTTTTCCAGCGAAGCTTTACCTGGGAGACTAGTGGGCTTTGGGGATTAAGTGTGCATTGTCAAGAAGGGTTTGACTTGTTCCTTGATGAGAGGTTTTAAAATAAGCAGCAGAAAGTCTTTCAGCTATGTCAATAAAAAGGAAATACAGGAATGCAACAAATATTCATTGGGTATGCATTAGAGAAAGAAAACATTCTGAATATGATATAAAAAAGAAAACTGTCTGGGTTTTCATTTAAAATCCTGATGCTGTACAGAGTAGTGAATATGTATCGAGTCACCATACTTGGAAATATTCAAAACCCTAGTGGATAATTGCCTTGAGCAACTTGTTCTAGGTGACCCTGTTTTTGTGCAAGGGGCTTGGCATGGATGGTGTCCAGAGGTCCCTTCCAATCATAAACTTTTTGTGATTCAGAGAAGGCAGAGCATGACAGCCAGCAAAGCATGATCTAGGCAATGATCAAAGCTGGAGAAGAGAAGAAAGAAACAGGATCTTCTCTGTCCCAGAATGCAAAAGGAACTGGCACATGAATCTGCAAATCAGATAACATGGATTTTAGCTATCTTTGTCAAGACAGGACTAGAAATATTTGGCTGTATTATAGCAAAAATGAGTCCTAGCTTTAACAATAGGAAATTAACTTTCTGTGAAATTAATGTTTACAATTTTATCTCAGCAAGATAAAAGTGAAATATTTCCTAGATAAAGGAAATGAAGCAGATCTCATATGACCAGAGTTCAGTCAAGACTTTGATAGAGTGCCACATGAGGTGTCTTTAGTTAACAATACAGTGATTCAAATAGAAATTACATCAAAACTGTCTAAAGAGGAGATAAGAAGAGGCATCATCAATAGAGATTATATCAGACTTGAAAGAGGTTCGTATAATGGAACAGTCTAAGAATAATATTTGTAACCAAGTTTATTGAACAAAACCTCACCCTGGAAAGGGAGTGTGCTCTGATGACATCTGCCACTGAGAGGGGAAGCACTGTCATTGTAAAAAAAATAAAATAAAAGTAAAATATTTGATAGGAGGTAAGAAACACATGACATCAGTAAGTGACATAATGAAAATAGTAATGTAAAGCCCTGCAATTCAGGACTTACAGCCAGAAATTCTTCTTTTTTGGTTGGATATAAGGCAAAAAAGCTGTATACATACTATTTTTTAAAAAAAGCTAAACTCAGTTGTTCAAAAATCTTGTGGGATGCATCAAGCCAGGTACATCCAAAAGCAACAAAGCAGCCTTCCTGCCTTTGTCGTAGGTAAGCTCAGACCTTGTGTTAACTCCAGGAGATTTTTGATCATCCAAACTGGAGGAACAGACACTAGATGAAGGATCAGGAAGAAGCAAAATTGTCTTCCAAGTGGGGACAACATAACAATGATTTGACTTAGCAAAATGAGATTGTTGTGTTTGTTTTCTAATCACAGACATAGATGATGAAACATCAGAGAAGAAGTAGAGAAGCAATGCTGGCAAAGTGGCTATAAACTGGCTGTGGATAAATTTAGGTTGGACATGAAAGTTTGTGACCATGGGAGCAGGGAGCTTCTGCTGTTATCCTCTGAGGAAGCTACTGGAAGCAAACAACCTTAACATTTTAAGCACAGGCTTGATCACTTTAGGAAAGCAGTGATAAATTGTGGTTGCCTAGCTTGGCCTGAGGTGGATTAACTGGCCCAGAAAGGCCCTTCTGGTTACATGTTCTTCTATTCACATTTTTTTTCCCCCTCTGTACGTGTCAACTAACATCTTAGTGCTTCCCTTCTGCATTTCCCTCTCCAAACAAAGGTCTGGTTTCTGGTGAGCTTAAATTTTTGTAAGTGGATCCAGGGGGTTATGGACAAAGGAACTTTTTTTGGTCTGCTATATTGTTTATTTAATTTTAGCAATCTTTCCAACCTAAAATCAACAGCTCCCCTCAACCTCTATGAGTCAGTGGTAGGTGTTGATGTATTCATTCTCTCCCAAGGGAACTCTGGAGGGGAGGGAAGGGGCTGTCAAACACATTATGCTAATACCCTCTATTCAAAAAATAAGGGAAAGAGAGGTAAATACACAACAGCTGGGGTAAGACTGAACTTAGGTGAACCAGAATTTGAGAGGTTGTGGTCAGAAGAGATTCACCTGTGGGTGTGTGATCTTGTCTAGTTCTGCACTGTGGTGGCAGATGGGATCCTGAAGCAAGGCTTTCACACAGATTCCCTCCTCCTTGCTCCTCCTGCTTTTGCCATCTCAGGTGCAAGCTCCTCAGCTTCTTCTCTGCTATTATGAATCTTTTAGTTCCACTCAAAGCCCCATCTGTGATCTTTTTTCTTTTGCTTTTTCACTCCTTTTTTTCCTACTATGTGTAACACCTTAGGTTCATTTACTCTTCCTCTGCCACCAGCAAAGCTTCCCATTTCCCTTTGCATCCTTTATTTCCTCCAACTGGCTTCTAGAACCACCCCATGGGACAAAGTTTCTCCTCTTTATCTTAAAAAAAGTACAAGATAAGCCCAGGATCTGGGCACATCTAACACACCATTGTACTCTGGCTTTTCCATCTTGCTGAAGCTCTGAGCAGTGCTGGTAAATGCCCTGGTGAAGGCACATCCTTCTCTAGGCTCCAGCTGCATTTTGCCCTGGATAGTGTCAGTGTGCCACAGTGACACTTCAGCCACTTTGAACTGCAAAAACCATCAACAAATTATGTATGGCAACCTCAGACATATGGTCCTTGCAGTGTAGGCAAAGCTTGCTTTAACCCACACACCTGTTCCAGAGCCAAAGGAGGATTCTAGCTTTGAAGCAACATCACTGTCAAATAATGGCTTTTTGGCTCTTTCCATTGTACAGTTGGGAGTTACTTGTAATGCTCTGCTACCACTGACCTGCCTGACCCCATGCCTGGAGGCTGGTTTCAAGATGTGGTTTGTCTACAGCCTGAAGGTGTCCAGGCTTACATCCATGCCCCATATTCTCCTAAGCCCAAGGAGAGCAAAGTGCAAGATAAGAAAAGAGTAACATCATACTTCTGATAGTAGTCCTAAAGATGGCTGCAGTCATAATGTAGGGACGTTATTCCTAAAAACACAGCCAAAATCCAGGGACAATGAGAGGTGAATCACACAGCAATCATTCAGAGAGGGGGGAGCACACGTATGGGAGTAAGTTGTGTCCAGAGCATGGATGAGAAAGGACATTCATTAAAAAAAAATGCAAAAAGTGCTCAGACCTGACTTATTTAGACCTATTCTTAAGATCTTCATGCAGAATTGCCTGCTTCAGGACATGTGACAGCTTCTAACAAATACAAGTCAGGAAGTAATTTTCCAAGGCAGGGCAAGGAAAGAAATACATTATCCTACAACTGTGGCCCGTTCTCCCATTTTCCTATGCATTTCCTCACTTGAAGATAAGATTTCATAGCTTTCTGAAAGGCATGATTTTATCCAGCTTCTGGGAAAGAGAAAAGGTCAAAGAAAAGTCCTTTTCCAGACAGTTGTGATGAGCAGTGACTGGGTTAGCCTGTATGAAAACTGTTCCTACGTCTCTGTAGCCACTTGCAGTGCCCAGTCCCACATAAAAAGAAGTTCCCTTGCCCTGCTTTTGCCACAGAAGGCTGTCACCTTTGATGCCCTGAGCATCCCTTCGCAATCTGGATTGCAGTGCTAGAGGGGACAGATGGAAAGAACAAACAAAGCTCCCCTTGGCTATTTGTGTACTATAAATAATATATTTTTAAAGCTGGAAGGGAGCCCAGAAGGCGTTTTTCGGTCTTGGCCACTGGTCCCAGGGGAGGTGATGGTTCTAGTGGGGTTTGGGGCTTAAGGGGAAGCCTCAGACAGCTCCTGCAACATGACAGGATTTTTCCAGATTTTGCTTTTCACTGGAGCGAATCATTCAAAAATATTTAAAGAGAAGGGCTTAATTCCGCTGCTTCTGGGGGTTACACCAGGGCAGCCAAAGGACACGCACCCAGCCAACAGCCCCTGAATTGTTTGGTTAGGAATTAGTGTGTGCATGCACACGTGTGGGAGGGACTGGGGGGCCACGGAGGGGTCGCTGAAACTTCAGCTTTGTTTTTTGTCAAAACAGATCGCACGTGGATGGCAAGCAGGTTTGCATGGGAGGGGCTGGGGGACACGGACAAATTATTTAGCTGGGCCCTGGCTGGGGCTGGAGATACTATTAGCTCATAGAACAGCTAGCTTTTTCTGGAGGAAAAAGAAGAAAAGAGCTACCCCTGTCTCTCCCAAGAGGACTCCACAAGCCCAGGGAAGGATATAGCCTCCCCCTGCTCCTCCCAGGGGTTCCCCACTCCATCCTCCCCAATCTTTCTTTCCTTTTCCCCTATTCAAGTCACCCTGGTTTGAAACCTCATCTTTGCTACACCACCCACTGTCCTTTTTGCTATCCATATTCACCTTTTCTGGCTTTCATATTGTCCCTCTTCTCTTTTTCTTCTCTATTAGCTCCTCTTACCTTTCCCACATCTCACAGATTTTCTTCTATAGGTCTCCTTTGCCTCCCTCCTGCCCTTCCCTTCTCTCCCTAAATTATAGTCATACCATGGATTGATATGCTCAATCCCAGCTGAAGGATTGAGCTGCTTCTTACCTCTGCAAAAGGAGAAAAATTCCACATTTGCCAAGACCTTCCCAAGCCCATAGGATCAAGTACAACTACCCCCAGCACAGAAGGAGCATCTGGGAGCTCTGTGCAGATTTATGCCCTACACCAAGATCAGCTGTGCTGCATCTCAGCTGGAGACTGAGGCTGAGCTATTTCAATGTGTGCCAGCTGGTGACTGTTACAAGTTCAGCTGCTTTTGCTGGAGTACTATATCCTCCTCTTCAGGTTTGGCTGATGACTTCTCTTCATAGTGCTGAGCACACAGTGCTGTTTTTTTTTTTTAAAAATAAATTTAATTTTTTTTTTAAAGCTTGTTTCTGCATGTGTGTTCATCTATTTGGATTGAAACATGGTGATGTGTTGCATTTGTTGTGCTCAGAATTTATTCCAAAAATTCCACGTTATTCCAAAACACAGAAATGCATAAAATAAGAGGTGTGTTTTAAGCACACTCTTGAGGAACTCCAGGAGCAGTTATCTGTAAATGTCAACCCTCCGCTTCTCAGGGCTCCTCTGGGATAGCTTGCCATAGAGAAGGAAGGTAATAATAAGATGTGTTTCACTTTCTCTTCCACACTTTCACATTGAAAACTGGAGTAAGAAGCCCTGTAAGCCTCATCAGCCTGAAACTTTCAGTGGTGAGCTGCGTACACATCTCATGTGCACAAGTAGGTGTTGCCCAGGCCAGCTGACTCCCAGTCACTGCGGGGTGACAGGGAACCCAGCCACATAACAAGCCCAAATCTTCAAAGGGAATTTGTCATGGCTGAAAGTATCCACTGTATGGCAGTTCTTGTATTGTTTTCTGTTGTTGTTTCATGGTGTTTTTTCTTACAGGTCTCATAGGCAGGGTGTTTACCTGAGATCTTGTTCTCAAGGCTCCAACTATCCTATAACCTCTGTGATGGATGTGCTCTCCCCATCTTATGGGATTTTTTTTCAGCTCACTATGACTTCAACCCTGTCATCACATTATCAAGAGCTAAGTGGGTTTTGTGTACAGTGTTAAATAAAACAGGGAAAGCTTCACATCAAGGTCTAGGTTATGTTTCCTCAAAAAATAAAAATAAAAATAATGGTCTTGCCCATCTTTCTATTTACAGAAAGTCCTTGACTGAAGTTATCCTCTGAATAGGTAATTCTTGGGAGAAATCTGTTACTTGGAGCTGGCTAAAACCATTCAGGAAAAGAGAAGGGAGGGCTAAAGGGAAATCGTATTGCTGTCTTCAGCAACCTGAGGGGACGATATGGAGTTAGTGGAGACAAACTCTTCTTGAACATGCATAGAGTCATAGAATGGTTTGGGTTGGAAGGGACATTAAATTTCATCTAATTCCAACCCCTCCACCGTGGGCAGGGATCCCTCCCACCAGCCCAGGCTGCCCCTTATCCAATTTGTGAGGTTTGCACAGACCCATGAAGCAGCAGGAGAAGAGGCAACAGTGCAAGGTGCAATAAGGGAAATTCTGATTACATATTAGGGAAGAAAAAAATGTATGTTTTCACCATAAGGATGACCAAACACTGGGCTAGGATCCAGTGAGTTTGTGAAATCTGCATCCAAATCTAACTTGGCCCTCCTGTGAGCAGGGTGTTGGATAAGAGATCTCCAGAGGTCTTCTCCAACCTGCATTATTCTGTAACCCTATTGACAAGTCATTAGACTTGTTCAATATTGCTCAAGACAATTGCTCAAGTCTGGCTTCTGGCCATAAACTTTCACTAATGTAGATGAAACTTCAGAGTTCAAAACAGCTTCTATGTTCTTCTCTAATTTCTGTTGTTCTTTGCTTGTCCTCCTTGTCATTTACTCCTTTATTTTTCCCCCTTTGAGTGAGTTTTGATATTTCTGTTCTTTCAGCCTATCTCCTTTCATATGCTTCTCCTGCTGTTTAGTGTCCTACCTGCTGTGGCAGATGCTCTGCCTTTGCATTTTCCACATAGCTTAAATATATCCCACTGGAGATAAGGGGCTGTCAAAAACTTGAGGAATCCCAGTATTTCTTACAAACTCATTCCATTTAATCCTCAGGGTTTTGTTTTGTTTTTGTATGGCATTTACTTTCCAAAGTATTGAGATATCTTGTTTATACCTTTGGTGGATTTCCAGCACTCACATCTGTGTGCAAAGGTGAAAGGAATATCTGAGCTGGAGAGCCAGAGTTTGATCTGTCAGTTACAGGTTTTCAGTGATCCAGGCTTCTGAATATCAGCAGCTGCCTTGCCAATTCATTACATTATTTCCTGTTGAATTTCCACACCAATCATGAGTCTGCCAAAGCACGAGTAGGTTCACCTTTTGTAACCTTTTGCCCTCTGAAAGGCAAGCCTTTAGCTGGAAGCTGCTGGGAATCTCATTGTCTTTATATTTTCATCAGAATCTATTAACCTCATGTTGGATTTTGTAATTTGGACAATGGTTTGGTTTCTGCCTGCAGAGCAGCTGAGTTGTTGCTCAAGAGATCTGTCTTCAGCAAAAATGACATATTGTGTTCATTTACTCCAGAGTTGTCTCTGCCTTCCATTGGAGAAGCAGGTGGTGCTACCATACAGGACAGGTGATATAATTCATCCTTATCTCACATTAGTATTGGCCTGAACACATAGACTCGGGACTGCTTTTCTTGACCCATGGAGGCTGCCCTTTGACTGAAAAAAAAAAAAAAAAAAAAAAGATTTGATGATGTTGATTATTTTTCTTGAAATACCCCAAATCTTCAGGGTGTCCCGAAGTGAATCTTAAGAAAGTCTGTCAAATGCCTACTCAAAATCTGTTCAGTGGGGATTATCAAATTTTGCCATTTGATACTTAATTTGATAGTTATTCTGAGGGCAAAAAAAGTCTGATTGACATATGATCTTCCCAGGTCTAAGTGAACCTTGTCAAAACAGGAAAAAAAAAAAAAAAAAAGGCATCAAAGGAGCAATTTTGAACTGAGCTGAAGAACAGACTTCACACACTATAAAACTTAAAATCCACCACAAGAAGGCAACAAGGGCATATTCTGGTCTTCATGCCACAGTATCTGTAGTTGTTTGGGTTCATGAACAGCATATCTAACCTCTGGATTAGTAAGGACTTGTTGCACTGAGTAAAGAAAGATGAGAAATCAATACGCATATATATATGTATATATATAATACAACTAAAAATATCTGCTGAAAAAGAAGTAGCAAGAAATTTTCGTAAAACAGAGGAATACATAGTGAGGTCAGTGAAAATCCATGAAAATGTTATAAATGGCCACAGAGAGAAGCAAGAGAAATTTTTGTTAGATTTGCCAAGTCTTTTAGAAACTAGTAATTCAAGAGAAGCCTAAACATGGAGGAAAAGTTTGGAAGATAACAAAGGCAGTGAGATTTGGAGTGTATTTTAGAAACATTAAACTCAAGTATTCCTCAAATATCCTTTGATTCTGACAAGAAATAAGCATCTCAAACTAGCTGTCATATTGTCAGAAACCACACTTATTGATTAAAATAAAATAAAATAAAATAAAATAAAATAAAATAAAATAAAATAAAATAAAATAAAATAAAATAAAATAAAGAAAAAGTAGAAAGAAGGAAAGCTGTCTTTCTTGCCAAATACTGTAAACGTTTAGAATGCCATTGAATTTTTGCTCCAACTGTAGACCTTCTAAATTTTGGAGACCTCAATACAACCCAGAGTATTTCCAGAGTCAGGCAGCCCTCTGCAGTAGCTGTTGAAATAGCCTTTTTTTGACCTAAGCTCAGTGCATTGACACTGAAGTAGTAGGTGTAAATACCACCCTAGATGACTGCATGTTGTGTGTAGTGATCTATCTTTCAATCTATCTGTCTTCTATCTATGCGTCTCATGTTGATTGAGTAACCAAAGTGTCCCTTGATACTCTGAAATTGTATGTATCAACACGATGTTCAGATCTGATTTCCATTATGGCCCCATCTTTAATTCTATTTCAATTTCTTATTTTTCTAATGTTCACTAAAAATAATACACAGCAGCATCCATTGTCCTCATACATGCATAATCTCCTGTAATTGGGTATTTCCTCCAATCCATCCTGTCAGCTCAAAAATATTGAATGAACTAGCTGTCATGATCAGTTAAGCTTTATTAAAAACTGCAACCCAATATCTTTGATGTTGGCTCACTGGGAACTGTCTGACATAATCCCACAAATTCTTTCGAAAGCACGGTCATGGGCATGCCCTGTATGTTTTCCCAAGAAGTTTAGACAGCACAGGGCTGTACTCATAAAATCACAGAAATTAGAGATGAGGAAAGGACTTGTTATTATAACATCATTTTGGACATTGATGGGCAAATTTTCAAATAATGGCAGAGCTCCAAATAGGATGCAGGTGCTCTGTCTCCTGGGATCAAGGAACTGATCAGTAAATCTCATTCTCTCCTACACATTAATGTTAGGGCTGTTGTGGAATCAATATATTTCTTCATTGATAATTTCACTTTACAGTTGACAGAACAAAGTTCAAGCCCTACTACAGCCAGCTGGCTTGAGTTCTGGTTAGCAAGTCTTTTTGCTTGTTTAAGATTGTCTTCTGACTGTCATGATATTACAGTGCCAAATCCAGAGTGATATGACTTTGGAGAATCTTAGTTTTCTTTTCAAAACAAAAATTAGTCTAGCCCATTTGTTGGTGATAAAAGCTCTATAGCATTCAGCTTTCAAAAGCTGGAGGGAAAAAAAAAAATCCACAATTACCTCCTTTTTTCCTAAACTCATGTTTTTTAAGCCAACTGGAAGAAGTGTGCCAGGGAAAGGGGAACAGAATGCCGCTTCATGACTTCTGAGCATTGGGAACCAGCAATGCAGAACATTCAGGCTTTTGTTGCTTTGCACAGAATAACATTTTACACTCCAAACCTCACCCATCAGCTTTACATAACAACAGCTTTTGTGCTATATGACTCACAGTATCTGATACCAAACTGCCAGGCTGCCTGACGTGTACATCTGGCTCATGCATATTATTCTTACTATACTTTATTTCAAGTTCCAGGTGAGAAACAGGGAGTGAAATTCTATCCCCCAAAAAATGCACGCAGAAAT